AGGGTATAATTATATATTCAAACAAAAAAAATTTAATAACATGACTCATATTAAAACAAAAACCTTCTTCTTTACTTTATGTTCACCCTGTCTTTAATGTAGGACCTAATTGTAGGGTTAATTTTGGTCTTAAATGTAAGACATATTTTTAATATTAATCAATTTTTTTTTTCAAATCATTCCTTTTGATAAATTTTTTTTCAAATAACCACTATTGATATTTCTTCAACTATAATCAAGTAGGAAAAGAAGAGAAGATATTAAAAAAGATTATTAGGATGTTTTAAAAAAATGTCACATTTATTATGATTAAGTTATTTAACTTTTTTAATCTAGTCAAATTAGTTAAATAGGTCTTTTGTTAAAAGCCAAAGAAATAAATAGGAGTAGAGGAGTGATTGTTAATAATGTATAAATTTATCATGTGGCCTTAATTAAATCATTCTATTATTGTTTGTGTAACAAACTGCAGGATCCGCTGGCTCACCTAACATTCCATCTACCAGAGAATGTACCTAGCTACTTCTGTCTTAGTGATGTAGTCTGATGTATGTGCGTTGTTCTATTATTTGCAGGTTATCCAAAAAATAATCACAATTGTGAAAACTAGACTTCAGTAATTTTACCGTTGTGGTTGTCCGTGTATCTGGTCAGAAAACATATCAATAAACTTTTGAGCATGTTCAGCTTTTGCAGGAAAACACCATAGATCAAGAACCATTATTATTATCGTGGCCGTGGTGATTGGTGCCTTCATCGCCCTCCTCATCTTGATTTTCATTTATTTTGCAGTTAGAAAAATCGAAGAAAACCATTAAAAGGAAGTTGAGACTTGAGAATATGAAGATACATAAAATAATATTTTTATTTTTATTATGTAGTAATTTGTCAATGTCAACCTTTCAATTCATCGCCCTAGAATAGTTTTAAATATTAGGATATTCTTCAACACCTTTTAGAGCTTTTAGTAACATTTTCCCTTCCCTCCCCTCATAGGTTTCCGCTCCAAAATTGGGATAATTTAGATGGAAAGGGTAATATTTTGGTTTGTGTTGACTAATATGCCCATATTATTTTTTTAATAATCCCATGTTACCCTTGACTACCGAATTGTGTGTGACTTGGTATATTTATGGATTCAATCATGCCTCTCTTCCCTCATTTATATGCTATTAAATATAAAAAAAAAGTTGCTATCAAATATATTTTAATTTCCAAATGCAAATCAAGCATTCAAAACAAAAACATACAAATAAGTATCTATGTCGTCTTTGAAAAATTTATTTGACTACTTGTGTTAACAACACAAAGAAAAATGAAAGATAGAAAAAAAACATACTCAAATTAAACATATTTACTTTATTAGACCAGATTTTGGATATAAACACGACTATAGTTATTAGATATATAGTAGCTATTAACTATGTCTATAAAGTTTGTAAAAATTGTCACACCTTACTTATATAGTACCTTAGCATTCATTTAGACCCATTCCAGACAACTTTGGATGGTCTTAAACTTAAAAATTTCAATTTGGACGTTAATTTTCGGAATATTACTGTTCACTGTCCAGTTTTCAGATTACAGGTCCAACTTTGGAAAATCATAACTAATTCTAGAAAAATCGTATGGAGGTGTTCCAAAATTCTACGGAAATTTCTTTCAATGCTCTTTAAGGGAAAAATACTCAATTGGACTTATTCTTACCCAATTCGTACAGTTTATTGGATTAAGATTACTATTCATTTGGTAAAATCTGGACTTTTCAGATTCTGCGTCTTAACTTCGAAAATTCATATCTCATTGTATACACATCCAAATGATGTGATTTACCACTCATTTTAAAGCTTGGGATATGAATTATAAGTGTACCAAATTCCGTAGCTTAACTCATTCATATGATAGGTCGAACTGAAGCTTGAAATTAACTGCCTCAGGACCTACGTTTTATCCCTTAATATCTCCTTACTTTAATTCTTTTTATTTCTTTGACATACATAGCATGGGCTTAATCTTTCTCATTCATACTCATATACTTTCATTCATGCCATAAACATCCTAAGCATATACATTGAAGTAATAGCATTCATAACATAATTTACAGCATAGGAGAATTATACATTGAATTTTCATATCAATCATTTGCATTAATAATTCTCCACTTCTTCTCCTTGCTTCTCATGCCATTAGTGCCCATCATTGATTGACCTAAATGGTTGGTTAGGGAGGGGGTGAGATTCGGGGGAATCTCAGTAGCAAACAATACCACATAATCATGCTAGATGGATGCTAATGCACTACACGCAACTTGTTTATTCTCTTGTTAATTAGTGACATACTAGCATGCTCAAAGCTAACTGCTTGATGCATGGCCATGGAGACATAATCTACTCATCATGAATAGCAATTACAGCAGCTAAAACATGTCACAACAACATGCAAATAACATGTACACGGCAACACACAAGCATACCACATCAAGCAATGACAATAGGTAAGTTCACTACCTTGCACCTCAAGCTTTCCTCTTACTTTTCCTTTGACTCCCTTGACTTTCCAACCATGTGGGCATTCGGTCAACATCACTAAACATCCTTTTGGATGTTCCAAAGGTCCTAAACATAACCATAATGATGACACAATCCATTAGGACCATTAGATTACATAAAGTTCAAGACTAGCTTTCTTGAACCTCAACCCTTTCTCTTAGTCTTAGGGTTTTCTTTCTAGCTTTTCTAACATAAATATCATCATTTACCATTCTTATGATCCATTTATTATCAATTAGGATCACTTTAGATGGCTTTAGATTCAAGAAGATCAAATCTGGAAATTTTAGTTCGCGGGTACTGTTCATGCAGAATCTCCAGAATTTTTGATCAACTTTCAAAATTCATAATTAAATCTAGAAAAATCCAAATTGAGTGCTTCCAAGTCTCAATGAAAGATAATTAAGTTAACTTTAAAGGAAAAATAATTTCAGGAACCAATTCTACGCAGAAAAGTACCATAATTGTACGGAATTCTACACCCTTCCAAAAGCTTAACACTGTTTCCAGATTTCAAACCCTAACTTTGAAAAATCACCATAAATCGTACACATATCCAAATGGAGTGTTCTACCCATGGATTTAAAGCTCACAGAGTGTACTTTAAGCATGAAAAATTTCAGAATCAGATACGTACAGTAACTAATTCAAAATAGGTATCAAATCAGATGCTACAGCCACCACATACCTTGATCTTGAAGCTTGAACTTTGTTCCTTCTTCTTGGCCTTCACCCCTACGTTTTTCTCTCTAAATTTTGACAGAGTTTTCCCTCTTAAACTCATGTTGGCTGAAAATATGAAGGGGAAGAGGCTCTATTTATAGCCAAAAAAGTTGGCTTGAATGGACCAAAATGCCCTTGGCAGCTAATAGAAAGGGTAAGGGCAAATTTGGAAGTTCAAGTGGACTTTTGCATCATCATTGCATCATCTTATTACATCATGCTTACCTCAACCTCCTAGAAGATGCCAAGTGTCATGAAAGTGGTGGAGGAGATGGGAGATTAGATCCTAACCGTTGGATCAAACTTGTTTCATAAGCTTCCTCCGAATTTACTTGGCCCACGTTTCTCCGGCTTTCTTTATGGCTTTTCGGAGCTCAGAAAATTGTTTTGTCTACTTTATAAATTCCCTTTAATTCTAGAGAATATCTATGAATTTTCTTAGGCCATAACACTTCCTTTAAACCTTGCATAAAAATTCATTTACCAAAATGCCCTTTTATCGGCAAAACCGGCTCTTTAATTTCTTAAAGCCACTCTACTGGCCTTTTGGTTGCGGGACTAATTTTATAAATTAGTACAACCTTTCAACCATTTAACCTCATTTTTGTATACATTTTTGAAGTCTCTTGCTATTTTAAATAATTACCTCACATGGTATACTTTTTACCGGTAATAACCTCATAAATTTCGTTGAAGCTGCCTCAGGGGTATTTTCATCTTTTCTCTTCATAGAAGAGCCTTAGAATATTATTTCCAATTTTCTAGGATTTTCTTGGAATTCTCTGCGTACTCTTCCATTTTTACCCCTGTTGGTCATAACCTTCTGAATTTACAGTTTAGTCCCTACTTGGACTTAGCTTCATACAATCCTCTCTTTGAGGTTTCTAACTTAACCTTTGGCCTGTGTCTAGCCTCTTTTCTCTTTTTGGGCCTTCGAGACTTTATTGGAGCCTCTAACTTTGATTACACTTTAGCCCTTAAAACTTTTACTTTGTAGTTTAGTCCCTGAAACTGCTTTAACTTCCTTTTTCATCTTTGGGACTTCTGCTCACAGGGGTCTGGTAACCTATTTAATTTAGACTATTTCTGGAACTTCTAGGCTTAAAAGTCTGGATGTTACAAAAATCAACTTAAATAATATAAGGGCAAAGTTGTCCATACAAAAATATTTTGCCTCCCCTCCCTTCCTAAACCAAATAAGGTAACATTAAAATTCCTCCCCTCCTCTCCCCTTGTATTAATCCAAACAAGATAATATTAAAATCTCTCTCCTTCCTTTCATCTTCTTTCCCTCCACTAAAATCCCTCCCCTCCCATTTTCTCTATTGAGCCAAACATACTCTTAGGATGATAGAGAACTAGAGAAGTCAATCTACAATGGTCAATAATACCCATTAATAGATTGTTGAGCCAAAAAATAGGTACTTTTTGTCCACCTTTTAATATTCTTTATTTCGAGTTTGATGAATAAATTATAACATTTATGACTTGTTAAATAGTGTGTTATGATGCTGATGACTGGTGCTGCAGTAAGACAGAGTCATAGAAATATTGCATTTTGGCATCAGAAAATGTCAAAATGTGGCTCTAATAAGAAAAGACCATTTACGCGTGACAAATTTCAAAGACGATAAAGCTACCTTTGAAATTTACCCATAATGAAGTCAAGTCAACTCTTGGGATGAGTATTTTACAACAAAAACCTCACAGAGCGAAACGAAATGAGAAATGTACGAAACAGAGCTGAAGGCTTTAGACTTTAAACCTTCCCTGAATGCTATAATACTTGGACAAAGTTCAATGGCCGGAGCTTATTTAGCATTGCTCCGATTTTTCTGTGTACTTATCACTCAATTATCACATGGAGCCAGCAGCCAACCAGAATTTCGGGATTATTATTGCAGCAACAGCAGCAACACATCAAATAGCACCTACCAGAACAACCTCAATACTCTTTTATCAAATCTCGCTTCCGACAAACAAATAGATTATGGCTTCTACAATCTCTCTTATGGTAGTTACCCAAATACAATATATGCTGTTGGATTATGCAGGGGATATGTTATGCCAGACTTTTGCCGCAGCTGCCTCAAAAATTCATCAGTCCTGCTGCCACAACTATGTCCAAATCAGAAGCAAGCTTTTGGGATTTACGATGAGTGCTCGTTATCTTACTCAGACACTTCCATATTAGGCAATCGAGTGGATCCTATTGTTACAGTCTACATGTGGAACGCAAACTTTGCGAAAAGTTGGAATCGGTATAATCAGGTCCTTATTGGTTTGCTGCGAAATCTAAGTAGCAGAGCTGCATCTGGTGGCTCCAGTCTAAAGTTTGCTGCAGGAAATGAAGAAGGACCTGACCTTCAAAATATATATGCTTTTGTTTAGTGCACACCTAATCTGAACGAGTCAGAATGCAATAACTGCTTGCTTTGGGCCATCTCACAGATTCCACGTTGCTGTAATCACAGGCCGGGTGGTAGTGTTATTAGACCCATTTATAACTTTAGATATGAAAGTAGCCGCTTCTATGCAATTACAGCTGATGTACCCTTATCAGCTCCGTCACCGCTACCGTCTCCCCCTCCTCCTCCTCTGCTTACACCTCCATCACTTCCATCCACCAACACAACATCTTCATCACCTCCTCCATATGCAGATACAATATCCTCAGAAGGTACTTTCATTAGCAGTTAAGCCCCCAAAACTTCCCCTTTGTTGAGATTTCACATTCCAGCTGGGAGGAATGGGTGGTTTTTAGCAGATAAGTAAGGCTTCAAAATCAACATTCTTTTCTATTATCTCTCTTAATGAAGGGGGATTTTATTTTTCCAGGAAAGAAATCACAAACTATCATTGCCATTGTTGTGCCAATTTCTGCATTTGTTGTGTTGCTTATCTGTGTTTGGATTTGTGTAAGAGTGAGGAACCAAGGAAGAAAATTACCAAGTAAGTTCACGTTGATATATTGCTAACAGCTTGACAATGTTGAGCGAAGTCAAAATTTATTAAATTTCTTGTGGCTTTTTCAAGGCCTTTGTTCGGTAGAACTTACATCTTTGATTAAACACCATCTAAGGTAATGGCTTATAAACATACTTTGCCCAGGTGAGATTGACGCTGATGATTCAATTGACGTCACTGAGTCAATACAGTTTGAATTTACACCATCAAAGTTGCTAAAAAAAACTTCTCCAGTCAAAACAAGCTTGGACAAGGAGGATTTGAACCGGTTTACAAGGTAGATAGATATAACACTCAGTATTATGAACAGAGCACCCCCGGTGAAATTTTGATACTTGTTGTCCAACTTTCAGGACAAGCTCTCCAGCGGAAAAGAGGTTGCCATAAAAAGGTTGTCTACGGATTCTGGGCAAGGGGACATTGAATTTAAGAACGAAGTACAAGTAATGGTCAAGCTTCAACACCGAAATTTGGTTAGAATCCTCGGTTTTTGTTTGAAAGAAAGGAACGGGTTCTAGTATATGAGTTTCGTCCTAATAGAAGCCTTGATTACTTTATATTTGGTAAGTTAGACATTCTCTTTCTACATGGAAAATGAAATTCATTACCCTTTGTTGCAAGAATAAATGAGCAAATACCCTGACTCTACTTTATATGATTATATCTTGGATTGAGATATAGATCCGATTAGATGTGCACAATTGAGATAGAAAACACACTATAAAATTATAGCAAGAATTGCCTGAGGCCTTCTTTACCTTCATGAAGAATGTCAACAACAAATTATTTATCGTGACCTTAAAGCAAGTAATATTCTCTTAGATACAAAGATGAATCCTAAGATATCAGATTTTGACATGGCGAGACTAGTTATTATTGATCAAACCCAAGCCAATACAAACAGAGTTGTGGGACCTAGTAAGTATCAAAACATGTCATTTAATTACTTTCTAATTGTCCTAGACCAAGCAAAAGAAAAACTTGAATATGATAGTCAAGAGAAATGTTACATATTGTATTTGATTACTTTGACATGTAGTGGGTATATGGCACCAGAGTATGCAAGGCATGGAAGATTCTCAACAAAGTCAGATGTTTTTAGTTTTGGTGTACTAATTCTAGAAGTTATGAGTGGCCAGAAGAATGGTGGCATTCATAACATGGAGAATGTAGAGCATCTACCAAGTTTGGCACATTTTCAGCCTTTTCACTATTTATTCCTCCTTAGCTTTGAAATTCTTAAGAGTTTAGGAAATTAATCTTCATTGGCCTGCATGAAACATAGAAGTTCGGAACAATACTTACCAAAATTGAGCAATTGTTGCAGGCATGGAAAAGCTGGAGGAAAGGGATGGCCTCTAAGATTATAGATCCCACGTTAAAAGGTGGTTCAAGAAATGAAATAATGAGATGTCTTCACATTGGTTTACTGTGTGTTCAAGAAAAAGCTACTGACAGACCAACCTTGGCTTCCCTTGTGCTTATGCTCAGCAGCCACTCTTTCTCACTTCAAGAACCCATGAAACCTGCATTTTTTATGAATGACACAAGTTTATCAGGCAGACAATCCGGGGATTACAGATATAGTAAATCTGCAAAATCATTATCAGTAAATGAGGCATCAATAACTGATAAATATCCTCAGTAATTTGACTTGTAGAGGTGATACTCTCAATCATAATTGCTGCCAATATAGTAAATCTTCAGGAAACAACAGCTATTGGATTATGAATATATAATCTTAATTAATAAAAGGCTTTATCACGCGCAATTAGTTAGTTATTATGAATTAATGTTTAATTTTATCTTGAAAGTTTTGACGTAGAAATTGTGTGTATTCAGAATATATATTCTTTGGATTCAATGCTACTTTGCAAGCATTAAAATAAGAAAAATATCGAACTCTTCTAATGATATCCTAGTAGACGTATATCATGTCGGACCTTATATCATATATGATTCTATGTGGGCATAAATATATTTTCTATTCTGATCATTTTAGTCCTGGAAGTTTTTGGAAAAGAATAATACTGCCCACAACTTCTACATGAAAATTTCCGAAACAAAATTCAATGTTAAGCCAATTACATTTGATAATTAGCAGTAACATTTGTCTTTTCTAATTTTTTGTGTGTCAGGTTTGGTTTTCCTTTGTATCTCCTTTTGTAACCACAATATGGCCTTCTCCCACAGGTGAGGAATATTATTATACGTAAATAAAAAGACGTAATCTTTTATTAATGATTTGTGGGAATAATATTTTATCCGGCTGCGTAGAAAGTTCTTTACGAAGCATGAACATACGCAACTATTGAAATCACACTAAAAATTTAATGCATGTATAATTATACAGAACTTAAAATCTACTGAAACTTCAAGGAAATTGAGTCTAGAAAAACTTTTTAAAACGAGTACTGCTTAACTTTGACTAAGACGTCATTTGTTTAAATGAGGTGAGCTATCGTTGCTCTTACTCCTGCACAGCACTGCATCCACTCAAGTATATATGTGGGATAACTCAGACTCGTTTGGGTTAAATCAGGCTGGACAAAACCAATTCTATATTTTATGGTGGATTAACACAAACAAGGGGAAAACTGATTGATACGTAGCCTGATTAGGTTACATGGCCTAGAGAGCAAATTAGGTGAGTTAACGCACTCAAAACACTCAATGTTTCTCGTAAATGTATAATTACACAATATTTTAATTAGATGTGCTCTGGAAAGTTCAAGGAAATTGATTCCAGAGCACAAAAGACCAGAAAAAAAATATTATTTATTCATTATTGTTATTACAAGATTGCTAGGCATTGATTGAACGTATTCTAACGCGGATTCAAATCCCGTTTTATCACGTTGTGAGGACTAGCCCCACCTCACCTCTTCTGCTAGATCCATTCTCCATTGATACAACTGATGAATTTGAATTAATGTAGGTTCCATGTAAGTATAAAATGTGTGATTGAGTTATATTATTCATGACTTATAAATTTTGTTACATCTGATGATGTTTTTATCATGTATATATGGAGAGGTATTAATTAATCGATAATATCTTAAGGCCGGTTGTGCAAACATTGGTAATGAATACCCTAACCATGATTAATACTGTAGAACGCTGTTACGAGGGATTATATGGATCTGGTCCTTAACATTAAAACGTGTGGTCCCCATGCAAATCAGTTCCTTGAAGTTTCTTATAAGTTCACATGGGTGGCTTCAACAACTTCAGCAGCCTCCCCTGAAGTCATCAACTACTTGACTTCTTATGGGTTTAGACAGGCAAATCTATCCCAAGTTACTAATTTAGGTAGGTGATTTGAAGCTTTTTAGTCATCTTGGGTTAAATCAAAAATAAAACCAAATTATATAGTAAAGCACAATCCAGGTCGTGTCTCCTGAAAAGACTTATATTAGTTCATAAGTTAACTAAATGACAAAAGCATTAAAAATCAAGGATTTGAAAAGGGAATTTTTTTCTTTTTATAAAACTAATTATGAAAATAAAGAAATCATTCTAAACTACTTTTTTTGTATTTTTAATAAAAAGAGAATGAAAAATGCAAATTTGAATTTATAGGAAATCAATGATGAAAATGTTTCTTGAAAACAGAATGTAGCTATCCTTGTTCAATAAAAATATAGGAGCAAAATAATGCATTAAGTTAAAAAGCAATCCCAAGCACAGTTTTGTTCAAGTAAACTTAACATTTGACCATTTTAAATGCTAGATAGTAATAAAATTATTAAGATACGTTTAAAAATTACTTGATGTGCAATTTAAATTGAGTTAATAAAACTTGTTTCTCTCTCAAAGAATACTTACAAAGACACTCGATTGCAATACATCTCAATCATAAAATCCAACAACACGCCAGATAAAATAATTTTAATGAATGCAAAGGAATCATATATAAATTCAAATCCCAAGTAGTACAACTCAAATTAAACTGTAAAAATCCTATTAACTAAAATTGTAACGCATGATCTTAGTCTCCAAATCAAATAAGAATATTCCTAACACAGAAAAAATATAATGAAGTCACTACAACAAAACAGCTGATTAGTGATAGAATTTGTAAAGGAAACAAATTCCGTCGCAAATTCCTGAAGTCACTACAACAAAACAGCTGATTAGTGATAGAATTTGCAAAGGAAACAAATTACGTCACTAATTACTGACGGAATTTGCGACGGAAACAAATTCCGTCACTCTGACTGAATTGTGACAGAAATTCTATCGCTAATTTTTTCCACAGATTAGCGAAGGAATTTATATCCGTCGCTAATCCGTCAGAAAATCCATCAGTAAATATTTAGCGACGGAATTTTTTCCGTCAAAAATTTCCGTCGCTAATTCCGTCGCTAAATTGTTTGTCATAGAAGTTTTTGTCACTAATTCCATCGCTAATTATATTCCGT